GCTGTCTCAGTTGGTTGCATATGAAACGCCCTCGAGCAGGACACGAGGCACTTCACATTCATGTTACTTGTGCATCAACACACCTATTAGGGTGAAACTGGTGTTAAGGGGTTTTGCCAAGAGCCATTGTTCTGCGGGGTGTCTGTTGCTGCAGGTCTGGTGATATCTAGATGTGTACCTGATATAATCAACCCTTAACTCCAATTGCTTGGAGGAGGGAAAGAAAACAGAACAGCTTTTGCTGGAGCCAAGGTGTTTCCTTCTCCCTCCCTCTCCTTTTCCCATCCAGGCAGTCCCTGTTCTTTGAGTAATTCCACTTGGGTTGTTCCCTCTCGCCTAGCCAGCACCCTCGTGGTGCTTCCAGCAGGTAGAGGCTGCCTCAAACTGATAGTTTTTCCTGCTGTCTCATCACTTCAGGGGAAAAAAACCCAACCAACCAACCGATAACAGAGTTTTCTAGGCTTGAGCTGCTGCAGAAGGCTCTGTCGGCTCATCACTGTGCCCAGCTCGGCCTCTCTCCATCATCCCTTATCAGCCCTTGGTTTTTGTTAGTCTGTACAAGGTAAAAATGAGAATGCAAGGGGGTACCTCACATGGGAGGAGTTGTGTCGATAGCCACAAGAGCAAGGCTTTTGTTTCAGCTTTTCCACTGTTTAATTCAGGCCCTCAGCAATGTTTCCTGCTCTGAGCTCACCTGCGGATGCTTATGAGCATCCCAGCCGGGGTACCTGCCCCCACCACCACCTACCTCCCACCTCTCCATTCCTAGCCACATCCTTGACTCAAAACCGACACATTTTTGGCCATCTGTCTCTGGATGCTTTTGAGCCGAGCCTTCAGCATCTCCTTCTTTCCTGCCATTCTCATCAAAGCTGTGTCTCCAGCTATCCAGAGTTGTTCTCCCCTGAGTTTGTCCTTCATCTCCAGAGGGAGGGAAGTGAGGTTTCTGTTGGGTTCTGCACAGCATGGCACCGTCAGGACCAAGAGACAGTCTGTCTGCTGGGATGCAGCCCAGCACACGGGGTGGTCTGGGCTCAAGCACACACTGAAGCCGGGTCATGGGGAGCTTCTCCTCACCCAACAGCCCCAAGTCCTTTTCCTCAGGGCTGTGTTTGCACTGGGGATTGCCCCAACCCAGGGGCAGGACCTTGCACTGAGCCTTGTTGAATTCCATGAGGGTCACACAATCCCACCCCTCCAGCCTGTCCAGGTCCCTCTGGATTCCATCCCTTCCCTCCAGCATATCAATCGAACCACACAGCTTGGTGCATCAGGAAACTTGCTGAAGGTGCATCAATCCCACTGTGCATGTGCCAGCACAGAATTTATTACCTTAAATTATGTGAACATGTGTCCATGAAATGGCAAAAATGGAAGATTTTTAGGGAGTTCAATGGGCCTGCAATGCACATGCTCATGTATTGTATGGAATATGTTCCTAACAGTGTGCTTGCTTTGCAGAATTGTCCTTCTAGAAGGACACTAAGGTTGCAGCAGGTAGAACAAATGCCATACCAAGAGTTTGACTTTGCACTGGGAGAGCAAACTGAATGTTTTAAAATGCCCTTCTCATTGCCCACTTGATCTTTCAACCTTCATTACGTTTTTCATTTGATTCTTACATTTATATAGAGTTGGAATAATTTAAAACCTCTAGGGAATTGCACTGCTGCTCATTTCCATTGCATTTCACAATGACATTTTAAGCTATTTTCCCAGCAATTACCTTGTGTAGTTCATAAGTTCAAAAGGTATTAAATTCAAAGCTGGAGATCTTGGATCCAAGCAGGAAAAGAAAACAGCAGAAGATAGTTTATCATGTTTTAATTAGCTTTAAACCAGATTCTATGCATCAAGCCTAGGAGAGCTTAAAGGAAATTGATGGAAGAACGTTCTTTAGCTTAATTCTTAGTTATCCAATGAGTATCCCATTGGATGGGGGGAGGTGGGTGGCTGAAAAGGTACTTCTAACCTTGAGAACTTTTGATCCCTGAATCTTTTAGATTGGCAGAAACCTCATGAGATCATTTAGTCCAATGTCCCTGCTTGAGCAGGATCAGCTAGAGCAGGTTGCCCAAGACCATATGCAATCGGGTGTTGAATATCTCCAAGGATGGAGGCTCCACAACCTCAATGGGCAACCCGTTTGACCACTCCTACAGTGAAAAAGATGTTTTCTTGTGTACAGAAGGAATTTAGTGAGTGCAACCCATCAGACCCCAGGGGTTTATGTACTTCTTGAGTTCTCCCAAAACCTGGTGGTCATCCACCTAAGGGTAAGTCTTCCTTGCTCCAGAATTCCCTCTGGTCTCAGGGACCTGGGATTCCTGAGGGATATCCTTACTAGAAGAGAAAGCTTTAAGTACCATGGCCTTTTCTATGTTGTTACCAGGTCCCTTCCCCATTCAGCAGTGGGCCCATGAATTCCCAAGCCTTCCTCTTTGCTTTCTTGATGCCCTTCACGTCCCTTGCCAGAGGTTCTTCTGTGTGTTGTGAGGCTTCTTCTGTGTGTTTGATGAAGGCCTCATCTACTTCTATGTGATCAGGAGGTCTACAGCAGTTTACCCACCTCAAGAGTGCTCATCTTGGTCTGTTCACTTACAGACTGACTCTTCCCAGAGAAGCCGTGGCTGCCCCATCCCTGGCAGTGTTCAAGGCCAGGTTGGACACAGGGGCTTGGAGCAACCTGCTCTAGTGGAAGGTGTCCCTGCCCGTGGCAGGGGGTTGGAATTGGATAAGCCTTCAGGTCCCTTCAACCCAAACCAGTCTGGGATTCTATGACTCCAGATCTCTACCGAAGCACAGAGCTCCATGTGTTCCTGCTCCTCCCTCACATTCCCAGCCTGTCCTTCCTAAAAAGCATGTAAATCAGTACAAAATCACTGGCTTTTGTCAGTAAGAGGGGTGGGCTGCATCCCCTGTCTGCGCTGGGCTGGGAGGTGTGAACCCTGCAAGGTCTTGCCTTAAGCTTCTAGAGAAGGTAATGTCCTTCTGCATGTCCTGCTCCTCTCAGGAATGGACACATCCAAGATGCAGTAATTGACCAAGTGCTGGAAACCTGTAGCCCTGTGTCCCAGTCCTTCCAGTGCTCCAAAGTTAAAGGTCTTGAGCCCCAGTTATTTGAGATCCTCTGCTGGAGTTATGAACAACTTCTTGCTGTCCCCACTGTGATCCTTGAAGGCAGTTAATCCCTTATATTGCCACTGCCTGCCTAAATCTGCTTTGTATAGGTCTGCTGAAGTTATGTGGCAGAGTCTCTCTCCCTACACTTGGGGAAAAGGGCTTAGTTTCAGGTTTGAGCCACGCTTCTTCAAAGAGCAAGTAACTTACAAGTACTCCCTCTTTCTGCATGTGTTCAATAACTGTGTTTTGATTTAGCTTTATTAGATTTAAAATCAATATTGCTTTTCATACCAATGACCTAATCCTTATTAAAGTTCTTCCCTGACAGCTTTCAAGGTTCAGCAGTTTCTTTATAAGCCTATGAAGTGGGTTCAGACTAAGCTCTTTTCAAGCAAGGAAATGGGTTTATTTACCTGTGCTGGATTTAAAGAACAGTTCATGGTTTGGGTTGGGCTTTTTCCCAAATAGGAATCAGAAGCAGTCTGGGAGTGAGAAGTGTGAATTTTATCTTCAGAAAGTCTGAGCCCCTGTGAATTATAGTGAAAACTCTGTTGTGCCCTTTGATTTAGCAGCTGCTTTCAGGGAAGTTCTCCAGCTCCTGTTAGGAAAGCCTGGCTGGAATGACACTTCTCTTGTGGATCACTTCTGTGCGGATGCACTAAGTTGAGTGTCCTCAGCTTCCTCTCAGCTCCCCTCGTAAGACTGACAAGTTTCAGAGGAATCCTTGTGGAAGCCTCTCACTTGGCAGATAAAATTCAGGAGTGATTCAAGGAGAAGCTGGGAAAACAAGGTGGCAGAAACCCTCTTAGAGGGGTGCTTCTCCTCTGTGCGTTTGTAAATGGAGTAGCATCCATAGGTGTGGAGGCACAGGAGGCTCTTACTTCTTAAGAGGGAAAATCAAGTGGAAAATGAAGAGTCATCATTACCTGGGAGGCAGGAATTCATAGTGCTTAACAGCAAAGTCACCCTGACCTTTCCCCTGAGCGGTTGTTTTGGACCTCATTTAGGAGATAAAAGCTCTAATTCACAATCGCTCTTTCATGGATTTTGTTCTTTGAGGAGAACAGAGTGAACTTTACCTCTGGTGAGTTGCATTTCGTTTATCACTTCATCTCTGGGTTGTTTTCAGATTATATCAAAACCCAACGAACCAGCTCGCCAGCACGAAAGCCACCCTGAGGAGACAGAAGAAGAGTTACGGGAACACCAAGCCCTTTTGGAGGAGCCATACAGCGACAGAGTTACAAGCCAAAAGGAGGCTCCAGGCTTGGCCAACATGGTGCAAGTGAAGCAAGAACCCATCGAGAGTGATGAGGAGGAAGCAGAGCCACAGCAGGAGCTGGAGTCTGGGCAGAGGCAGGCTGAGCAGGAGCTGCTCTTCCGTCAGGTGAGCCTGCAACATACCAAGTTTGGGACTTGGTTCTTTGTAGAAGGTTGGTTGGTGCTTGGTAGACACGTTATACTACTCTAGGATGAGAAGCTTTCTTCCCTGTGAGGGTGCTGAAGCGCTGGCAGTGTTCAAGGCCAGGTTGGACACAGAGGCTTGGAGCAACCTGCTCTAGTGACTGCCCCAGAGAATGGCTGGTTTAAGGGAAAAGGGGACAAGATTGATGGGATGGGGTTCCCTCTTCAGAGCTGGAGATCCTAGAGACCTCACTGTTCTCACTTTCGAGGGCAAGCACTGGAGGCTTGTAGGTTGCAAGTGATAAATCGAAGAACAACATAGCACAGAGTAATCTTCCCAGTTACATGGCAGTCTCCCAAAGTCTGCCTGTTGTGGTAGCAGTAATGAAGGTGATTCTCCTACGGCATCAGTGCTCTGCTCATCTTTACAGCCCTCAGCACTGACAGCCCTGCCTAACCCTGCAAAGGATCTGCAGCCAAGAGCAGGCTGCTGTAGCCATGCCAGTGTGTAGGAACAGCCCTTGGCTAAGGAAAACGGACTTGTGCCAGCTTTGCAGTTGCAGTGTTTGGGAATCAGGTGCAAATGAGTTGCTCCATGAAGTCATCTGCACCTCGCTGCTCTGCCTTCTTCCCAGCACTGTGGAGCTGCTGTTGTTCCTCAGAGACTACGTTTTTGGTTCCTTTATCTTCATAACAGCACTGCCTTGAAGGATCAATGCCATGAACAACCCTGCTTGTTCAAATTGTTATTTGATTTATACAGTCACATCTGAGCCTTAGTGAATAAATAAACACATAAACCAAATGTCATTTGAACAACCCGCTCTAGTGGAAGGCGTCCCTGCCCGTGGCAGGGCTTAGAACTGGATGAGCTTTAAGGCCTCTTCCAACCTAAAGCACTATGTGGTACTATAATACCTGCTTCTTTTCCCCACAGCAAGCCCTTCTGTTGGAGCAGCAACGGATCCACCAGCTGAGGAACTACCAGGCGTCGCTGGAGGCAGCCGGCATGCCTGTCTCCTTCGGAGGCCATCGGCCCCTGTCCCGCGCCCAGTCCTCGCCCGCCTCGGCCACCTTCCCGATGTCCGTACAGGAGCCACCCACTAAGCCAAGATTCACAACAGGTAATGTTTTGAGACACAGGAGGCTGAAGCAGTGGGGCTGGTGTTACCATTTTGCCTTGATGTTGTGCGTTTCTGTTGTGTTCCTGCAAAGCCATCTGTGTCTCGGCTGTGTTTGGGATTCCGTAACATCCTGTCGTCTTCGGGATAAGATTCAGTTGTCTTACACCCTGTTGTCCTGCTTGTCCCTTCCCCAGAGGGACAGACACCTTATAGTCCAGACAGAAAATAACCTGCAGAAGTCAAGAGAAGCATAGCACAGTACTTTAATTATAGCTCTCCCCCCCGAAAAGGACAAGTCATATGCTGTGACAAAGCTGCTTTAGATGCAAGGCAAGAGAGAGGCAGTGTCCTGACGAAGGACAGCATGCCAAATATCTGATGGCTGTATTTACTGCACCTTCCCCAATCCCTGTGGAGTCCCATGCCATAAGTTATCCCCTCCAGGCTCTGTGCCAGTCTACCCATCCTTCTGTAGCACAGCCTCTGCCCAGGAGTCTGTGTCTGTAGGTTGGCACAAATGAGATTATCCTGGTTTTAGCTGGGATAGAGTTAATTTTTTCTTAGTAGCAGGTGCAGTGCTGTGATTTGGCTTTAGTCTGAGGATAATGCTGACAACACACTGATGTTTTGGTTGCTACTCTAAATCAGTGACTTTCCAGTGTCTCATGCTTTACCAGTGAGGAGGGGCACAAGAAGCCTGGGGGGAGCAAAGACAGGACACGTGACCCAAACTAGCCAAAGGGTTATTCCATACCACAGCACACCATTCCCAGTATATAAGCTGTGAGGAGTTAGCTGGGAGCCACAGATCGCTGCTTGGGTCAAGCTGGGTATAGGTCAGTGGGTGGTGAGTAATTGTGCATCACTTGTGTTTATTGGGTTTTATTTATCTCTCCCTTTTTCACATTATTGTTACTATTATAGCAGAGTTGTTGTTGTTACTACACTGTTGTTGTTGTTATCACAAGTCCAGAGGAGGCCCCGGAGCTGCTGCGAGGGCTGGAGCAGCTCTGCTCTGGAGCCAGGCTGAGAGAGCTGGGCTGGGGCAGCTGGAGAAGAGAAGGCTCCTCAAGGGGACACCTCAGAGCAGCTCCAGGGCCTAAAGGGGCTCCAGGAAACCGGGAGAGGGGCTTTGGGCAAGGGATGGACGGACAGGCCAAGGGGAATGGCTTGAACCTGCCAGAGG